TCTTGCTTACAACATTTATTTCGAACAGTATGTCATGTCACAACACTAAGCCACAGAGAAATTTGAAGTTATGTATGTTTCTGGTGATTCCATTTTCCTCTGCCACTGTTCTCCCACAAACAGTTCCTGTCATAGCATTATCCTCCATAATGGCAACTGTGGCATCATCTATCTTCCCAATTTGGTGTTTGGTAGGCTTTATCGCCTCAGCTCGATTTTCCCATCGTGTGGCACTTAGTGGTTTCAGTGTCAGAGAGGATGTTCCCAGAAGTTGCTTCAAAATTTGCCATCGATGAGTTGATGCAGAGAAAAATACAGAGATGCTTCGAATTACACTAAAAAATTCAGCAGCCTCACTAGAAGCTGATGCTGCATCACTGACCACCAAGTTCAATGAATGAGAACTGCATGGGACAAAAAAAGCTCAAGGGTCCGTGTCTGCACTCTTCTGTTGTTTCCGCTCATGTTGGCACCATTATCGTAGCCCTGACCTCTCATGTCAGCTATCGGAATTCCCGTATCTTCCAGCTTTTTAAGAAGCACATTTGTCATACCAGCTCCTGTAGTATCATCAATGTCAATAAATTCTAGAAAATGCTCTGACAGTCACTATTGCAGGGACATTTTCACTAGGTTCTGTTGATGTTACAAAACACACCATTAAAGTTATTCGTTCTGTATGGATGATGTCAGGTGTGCAATCCAGAATAACAGAGTAATATCTTGCTGACTTCAGATCTGCCACAATCTTCTGTTTGACTTTTGTTGCCAGTAACTGTATGATCTCATTTTGAATTGTTTTTCCAAAGTAGTGGTGTGTGCCATCAGCTCCACAATGTTAAGGAAGTTTCCATTGTTTGGCACATCCAGCTGATCTGAAGTGCCATGCAGTGCTAGGTTTTGGGTAGCAAGCATTCTCACAATGGCAATGAGCCTTTTCCGAACATTTTGCCAGTAAAGAGACTCTGATGCAATCTTCTCTTGATGCTGATCATCTATGGTGGCCTTTAACCTTAGTCTCATCTCAAGCTCTTTCCACCTACGGAATGAATGCTCTCTGGTGATTTGCTGCCTTCTCATGGCATGCCAGATTTCTAGCCAGATTTTTCCAGTCCTTTGTTCCTGTAGAACCCAATGTGGCTGGAACATTAGACTAGAAGAGTTTGCAACAAAAAGAGTATGCAGCATTTTGGGTTTTTGAGTACATAAGCCCTGGCCTCTCCACTTTGTCACCATTGGGGATTTCATGCCAGTAATGTGTTGGATGGAAACTTCTATTTTCATTGTCTTTGGGGAACATGAAGTTTTTCACTTGCTGTGGCCCATGCAGTACAAGGAAGTCCCTCAGGCTACTGCTCAAGTGGGTCCACAGTCCTGGATCATCTAGACTTCGATGCTGATGTCAGGCTAAGGCAACCACTAATGACACGAGTGACTGTGTTCAGCTCCCAATCACCAAGATGCTTATGCCAGTGTCTGCCCTGCAACACTGCACAGTATCCCATTGGAGTGAATACCAGCCCCAGGAATGAGGGTGTAAATCTGCTCCCCAGGAGGTTCACACCAGCTTCTACATGAAGGCAGTGGGGGGGGGGAAGGGGGATGATCTTTTTCATTAAGTGCTCTAGTGGGAGCAGTAGGTCAGACTGCAGTCCAGTCTGCCTAACTAGGTGAGAGCTGGCCGGAATGGGAGTGGAAAAAGCCTGGTCAGTGGTGGGGAGCCCTTGACAGGACCTCACTTTGTGCAGAGACTGGTCAGACCCATCAGCAGGAGGGGCTATATTCCCCATTGACATGAATGATCAGATGTAGAGGAACATCCCTGAGTGTTTATTCCCTTGGGGTGTTTGCAGACTCTGGCATTTTAGAAGTGGCTTAGCTCCGACTGGTGAATGGTTCGAGTCGCTGCGCTGGGAGAGTGGAGGTGTTTCATAACAAGAAGTGGGGAACCGTGTGTGATGGCGGCTGGGACTTACAGGATGCTGGAATCGTGTGCAGGCAGTTGGGCTGTGGGACGGCGCTATCAGCCCCCGCTGGGGCTCACTTTGGGCAGGGATCTGATCATATCTGGCTGGATAATGTCACCTGCACAGGGACAGAAGTTGCCCTCTCTGATTGCAGGGCTCGGTCTTGGGGAGACAGTAACTGTACCCACGGAGAAGATGCTGGTGTCGAGTGCTCTGGTAACTTGCATCCATGACGTCACTGTGGGTGGTGCAGGTTGGGAAGTTTTCAGCACAGATCCAGCTCTCCTATCTGAGTCAGCGCTGACCCCAGTGCCCCAGCATGGTGCTGAGGGCCTGTACTGCAGCAAGCAGGATGGGGTCTCAGTAGGGGGCTCTCTGCCCTTTCCCTCTGTGCTGGCTCCAGTGCCCCAGCACAGCACTTAGGGCCTGTGCTGCAGGGAACAGTACGTGTGCCTCTGTGAAAGACTCTCCCCATCGCTGATCACTGTGATCCCCCTGCCCCACTCCAGCACAATGAGGTGCTGGGTAACCGTAGATCCCATTTGTGGGATTTGGGGTCGAATGGAGCCTGCAGCCGCTCAGGGGTCCCTTTATGTGGGTATCCTACCCCTGCCACCCCCGGTGATTTGCAGCTCAGCTAATTAATCCTGAACCTGTAATATCCCCCACTGCTGTGACTGGAGATAGGGTTCTTCTTCACTTCCTCTCCTACACAGCCCATCAGTTTCTGTGCCCTGTCTCTCAGCTACTCTGTTCCACCCCAGAAGTGGCTGCATGGCAGTGGTGGGGAGTAGGTCTGTCAAGTGACTAAAAAAATGAATCGTGATTAATCGCTCAATTAATTGCGCTTTTACACAACAATAGAATACCATTTATTTCAATTTTGGGGGAATGTTTTCTCCATTTTCTAATATATTGAATTCAATTACACTACAGAATACAAAGTGTACAGTGCTCACTTTATATTTATTTTTGAGTACAAATATTTGCACTGTGAAAAAGAAACAAAAGAAATAGTATTTTCAATTCACGTTATACAAGTACTGTAGTGCAATCTCTTTATCAGGAAAGTTGAACTTACAAACGTAGAATTATGTACAAAAAATAACTGCACTCAAAAATAAAACAATGTAAAACTTTAGATTCTACAAGTCCACTCAGTCCTACGTCTTGTTCAGCCAATCACTCAGACAGAGAAGTTTATTCACATTTGCAGGAGATATTACTGCCTGCTTCTTGTTTACAATGTTATCTGAAAGTGAGAACAGGCGTTCGCATGGCACTGTAGTAGCTGGGGTCACAAAGTATTTATGCATCAGATGCGCTAAAGATTCATATGTCCCATGCTTCAGCCATCATTCCAGAGGACGTGTATCCATACTTATGATGGGTTCTGCTCGATAATGATCCAAAACAGTGTGGACCAACACATGTTCATTTTCATCATCTGAGTCAGATGCCACCAGCAGAAGGTTGATTTTCTTCCTTGGTTGTTCAGGTTCTGTAGTTTCCGCATTGGAGTGTTGCTCTTTCAAGACTTCTGAAAGCATACTCCACACTTGGTCCAGCTCAGATTTTGGAAGGCACTTCAGATTCTTAAACCTTGGGTCGAGTGCTGTATCTAGCTTTAGAAATCTCACCTTGGTTCCTTCTTTGCATTTTGTCACATCTGCAGTGAAAGTTCTGAAAACAAACAACATGTACTGTCATTGTGCAAGACTGGTTTAATATTAAATATATGGCAGAATGCAGGTAAAACACAGAGCAGGAGATATACAATTCTCCCCCAAGGATTTCAGTCAGAAATTAAATTAACACATTATTTATTTAACGATCGTCATCACCATGGATGCATGTCGTCTGGAATGGTGGCCGAAGCAAGAAGGGGCATATGAATGGTTAGCATATCTAGCACATAAATAACTTCCAATGCCAGCTACAAAAATGCCATGTGAATGCCTCTTCTCACTTTCTGGTGACACTGTAAATAAGAAGCAGGCAGCATTATCTCCCGTAAATGTAAATAAACTTGTTTGTCTTAGCAATTGGCTGAACAAGAAGTTGGAGTGAGTGGGACATGTAGGCTCTAAGTTTTAATTGTTAAGTGCAGTTATACAACAACAAAAAAATCTACATTGTACTTTGCACTTACACGAGAAAGAGATTGCCCTACAGTACTTTTATGAGGTGAATTGAACAATACTATTTCTTTTGTTTATCATGTTTACAGTGCAAATATTTGTAATTCAAAAGCACTCTACACTTTGTATTCTGTGTTGTAATTGAAATCAATATGTTTGAAAACGAAGAAAAACATCCAAAAGTATTTAATAAATTTCAAGTGGTATTCTATTGTTTAACAGTGTGATTAAAACCACGATTCATTTTTAAAATTATGATTAACATTTTAGTGTTGATTGCTTGAGTTAACTGCGATTAATTGACAGCCCTGTTTTAAAATAAAATGTTTCAGGTATTCCACATTTGGATTCATTTTCCACTAGCCTCCTAGAATGTTCTGGACCTTTGTAGAATCTCTTGAAACCTTCCAGACTTTCTGAGAATGACATTTTCCTCGAACCTCCTCTAGCTTTTCTGTTTCTGGTGTTGACGCTCGCTTACCTCCTCACTGCTGGAGAAACACAGGCCCACGTAACTGCCGATACTTGGAAGGGGCGAATTAACATGCTCAGTATAAGGCAATAAGCAACTTGTGGGTGGGGTTGGGGGGGCATGTGACCCCGCACCCAGGCTGATCAGCTGCTCTGAGACAGAGTTAACTGTGAGTTAACTTGCATCCGATGAAGTGAGCTGTAGCTCACGAAAGCTTATGTTCAGATAAATTGGTTAGTCTCTAAGGTGCCACAAGTACTCCTTTTCTTTTTGTGATTAATTGATAGCCTTAGTGGGGAGTGAACGCAGTTGCAGAGGTTATTCAGACCAGTCAGTGGGAGGGGCTATGTCCCCCAGCATCACTAGTGGTCAGATGCACAGGAACCTCCCTGAATGTTTATTCCTTTGGGGTGTTTGCAGACTCAGGCATTTCAGAAGTGGCTCAGCTCCGACTGGTGAACGGTCCGAGTAGATGCGCTGGGAGAGTCGAGGTGCTTCACAACCAGCAGTGGGGAACCGTGTGTGATGACAGCTGGGACATAACTGATGCTGGAGTCGTGTGCAGGCAGCTGGGCTGTGGGACGGCGTTATCAGCCCCAGGAAGAGCTCGATTTGGGCGAGGATCAGACCGTGTCTGGCTGGATGATGTTCACTGCACAGGGACAGAAGCTGCCCTCTCTGATTGCAGGTCTCGGCCTTGGGGAGACAATAACTGTAACCATGGAGAAGATGCCGGTGTTGTGTGCTCAGGTAAACTTCTTTCACCACTGTTGCAGGGAGCAGAGTGGGAAGCTCATTATGGGGCATTGTCCTCTCACAGCCAGTGCTGACCCCAGCATCGTGCTTTGGTGCCTGAGCGTCAGGGAGTAATATGGCAGTTCCAGTAGGGGGTGCTCGCCTTTCACAGTCTGTACTGAGCCTAATTCCCTTGTGTGTTCTATGGGCTTGTGCTGTAGGGAGTGTGGGGGGGACTCAGTAGGGGGCACTCTTCCTTTGAAGGCAGTGCTGGCCCCAGTTCCCCAGTGCGGTGCCAAGGGCCCCTGGCATGAGGAAGCCTTGTCTGTGCCCACTGGGGGGAAGCTCCTCGACTCCCCTGGACTCAGGCCATACAAGTCGTGCCCTCTAGGCCTTGTGGGGTGGCCTCTCTCCAGGTTGATGATAGGCAAACTCCAGCCCCCAGCCCTCCAAGTGTCCCCCTGCGGCACCCAGCCCCTATCCCACTGGGCATTCACAGCAGTCACAGATCCACTGCTCCGAAAGGAACAGGGCCCCCAGCTGACCAGCTCCAACTCCCATCTCTGCCCCGATCAAAACACAGCTCTAGATCCCTTCATAGGCACACCAAGGACAAGTGATTTCACAGAGTGTAGAGATTCAAGGAGTAGCAAGGAGAAGGGTTGGAAAGAAATGGTTCCATGGCCAATAAAATCATACCACGCTGACTAGACCCTAGACTTATTGAACGAGATACTTTTCTGTCTGGTAGAGCAACACTCACCCCACAGTTCTTCCAGGGTTTTACTCCAGGCTTGGCTGTGATCTCCTGTTCCTGAGACAAATGCTGTCAGCCACCTCCTGGGTGAAAGGGAGCTCTTGTCCCCTCTCCTCCTTTCTTCGTAGGTATATGACACTGATAGACCCCAGTCATCAGCAGGCGGGATCAAACCTGGGACCTCTGGAGCTTAGTGCATGAGTCTCTGCCGCATAAGCTGTAGAGGAGACTCATTTTATCTCTCTGTGTGGTCTCGGTGAAACTAGATGGGACAGAACACAGCACCCACGAGGTGTGGGGGTTACAGATATAGACCATTGTCTTCTCAGAGGAGGTCTCTCTTCCGAGACTTGTTCTGAGGGTCCTTTGTTTTTGCATATTCTCAGGTCCCCACAGGGCCCAGACAGTGAATATAGCCTGTCTCCACGGCTGTGCTTTGTACTATGTGCTGATTGGCTCCGCCGAAGGGATTGCCATGGCACAGGTGACAAGCTTTACTGCAACACTTCTGCAACCTCATATTTTACATTTTACATCTCTCTTCAACTGTGTCCCATACAAAGATCTTGCCCCTATTAGGGAGACCAGCGGGCTGCTGGCTCTTGGTAGAGACCTCACATACCACCTTTGGTGAGCTATTGTGCACACAGTATATCTCACCCAGGGGATCCCCATATAACTCTAGGCATCCCTGTGGCCTCTTCCAGTTGGCATCTAGTTATACCTGGGCCAGACCCTGCTGCAGCACTTTGGGGACCTGGGTAACTGCAGCTTCTACTGTTTGGATTTGGTGTTGACAGAGCCTGCAGCCGCTCACTCAAACTAAAAATCCAGGGCCAGTTTCTCAAGAGTCCGGTTCCTAATCACTGTGTTCTGGTGGATTTGCATTTCAGGAATTGGGCCCTAAATTTGTAACTTCCCCAAAGGCTGGACACAGGACACGCAATTCTTTGTTACTTTCTGTCTTGCACAGCCGACATATTTCCCTGTCCCCCCCCCCCCCCAACCCCCGGGCCAAAAAACACAACCCCCACAAACCACCAACCCCGAACCAAGAGCCCCCCCCCCCCCCCCCCGGCCCCCCCCCCCGCCCCCTCCCCACACAAGAAAGAGAAAAAAAAAAAAAATAAAAAAAAAAAAAAAGAACCAACCCCCCAACAAAAAAAAACAAAAAAAGAAAAAAAAAAAACCCAAGAATATGGGGGGGGGTGTTTTTTTTTTGATTTGGGCCAAACCCACCCACTCCTTCCTCTTGTCCCCCCCCCCCCCCCCCCCCCCCCCCCCCCCCGGGGTTGTTCTTGGTTAGTGAAAAAAAAAAAAAAAAAAAAAGAATATCAGGGGGGGAGGGGACCCCAGAAGGTCATCTAGTCCAACCCCTGCTCAAAGCAGGACCAATTCCCAGTTAAATCATCGCAGCCAGGGCTTTGTCAAGCCTGACCTTAAAAACCTCTAAGGAAGGAGATTCTACCACCTCCCTAGGTAACGCATTCCAGTGTTTCACCACCCTCTTAGTGAAAAAGTTTTTCCTAATATCCAATCTAAACCTCCCCCACTGCAACTTGAGACCATTACTCCTCATTCTGTCATCTGCTACCATTGAGAACAGTCTAGAGCCATCCTCTTTGGAACCCCCTTTCAGGTAGTTGAAAGCAGCTATCAAATCCCCCCTCATTCTTCTCTTCTGCAGGCTAAACAATCCCAGCTCCCTCAGCCTCTCCTCATAACTCATGTGTTCCAGTCCCCTAATCATTTTTGTTGCCCTTCGCTGGACTCTCTCCAATTTATCCACATCCTTCTTGAAGTGTGGGGCCCAAAACTGGACACAGTACTCCAGATGAGGCCTCACCAATGTCGAATAGAGGGGAACGATCACGTCCCTCGATCTGCTCGCTATGCCCCTACTTATACATCCCAAAATGCCATTGGCCTTCTTGGCAACAAGGGCACACTGCTGACTCATATCCAGCTTCTCGTCCACTGTCACCCCTAGGTCCTTTTCCGCAGAACTGCTGCCTAGCCATTCGGTCCCTAGTCTGTAGCTGTGCATTGGGTTCTTCCGTCCTAAGTGCAGGACCCTGCACTTATCCTTATTGAACCTCATCAGATTTCTTTTGGCCCAATCCTCCAATTTGTCTAGGTCTTTCTGTATCCTATCCCTCCCCTCCAGCATATCTACCACTCCTCCCAGTTTAGTATCATCCGCAAATTTGCTGAGAGTGCAATCCACACCATCCTCCAGATCATTGATGAAGATATTGAACAAAACCGGCCCCAGGACCGACCCTTGGGGTACTCCACTTGATACCGGCTGCCAACTAGATATGGAGCCATTGATCACTACCCGTTGAGCCCGACAATCTAGCCAGCTTTCTACCCACCTTGTAGTGCATTCATCCAGCCCATACTTCCTTAACTTGCTGACAAGAATACTGTGGGAGACCGTGTCAAAAGCTTTGCTAAAGTCAAGAAACAATACATCCACTGCTTTCCCTTCATCCACAGAACCAGTAATCTCATCATAAAAGGCGATTAGATTAGTCAGGCATGACCTTCCCTTGGTGAATCCATGCTGGCTGTTCCTGATCACTTTCCTCTCATGCAAGTGCATCAGGATTGATTCTTTGAGGACCTGCTCCATGATTTTTCCAGGGACTGAGGTGAGGCTGACTGGCCTGTAGTTCCCAGGATCCTCCTTCTTCCCTTTTTTAAAGATTGGCACTACATTAGCCTTTTTCCAGTCATCCGGGACTTCCCCGTTCGCCACAAGTTTTCAAAGATAATGGCCAATGGCTCTGCAATCACAGCCGCCAATTCCTTCAGCACTCTCGGATGCAACTCGTCCGGCCCCATGGACTTGTGCTCGTCCAGCTTTTCTAAATAGTCCCTAACCACCTCTATCTCCACAGAGGGCTGGCCATCTCTTCCCCATTTTGTGATGCCCAGCGTAGCAGTCTGGGAGCTGACCTTGTTAGTGAAAACAGAGGCAAAAAAAGCATTGAGTACATTAGCTTTTTCCACATCCTCTGTCACTAGTTTGCCTCCCTCATTCAGTAAGGGGCCCACACATTCCTTGGCTTTCTTCTTGTTGCCAACATACCTGAAGAAACCCTTCTTGTTACTCTTGACATCACTGGCTAGCTGCAGCTCCAGGTGCGATTTGGCCCTCCTGATAACATTCCTACATGCCCGAGCAATATTTTTATACTCTTCCCTGGTCATATGTCCAACCTTCCACTTCTTGTAAGCTTCTTTTTTATGTTTAAGATCCGCTAAGATTTCACCATTAAGCCAAGCTGGTCGCCTGCCATATTTACTATTCTTTCGACTCATCGGGATGGTTTGTCCCTGTAACCTCAACAGGGATTCCTTGAAATACAGCCAGCTCTCCTGGACTCCTTTCCCCTTCAAGTTAGTCCCCCAGGGGATCCTGGCCATCCGTTCCCTGAGGGAGTCGAAGTCTGCTTTCCTGAAGTCCAGGGTCCGTATCCTGCTGCTTACCTTTCTTCCCTGTGTCAGGATCCTGTGAAGACCCAGAGTTCAGAGGTGCACCTGTGTGAGTTCAGCTCCCACCATGGGGGCGGGGAGGAGAGCGCCTGGCTCGCTCTCCTGTCTGGGTGCTTGCTCTGGTGGCAGCTGCCCTGCCAGCCACTCATCACTCTGCTCGCCCTCACCTCCTGCTGCCCCCGGCCTCTCTACTGTGACCTCTGCAGGTCGCTCTCTTGAGGCTCCCCCCAGCTCTTAGTGGAGAGACCTCAGTGCTGAAGCAGGCTGGGCAGAAACACAGTGTCACAGCAGATGATTTCTGCTCTAGTGATCACTTAATCCCAAAAGATTCCTAATGGAGCCTTAGTTAGCTCTACCTTTGAAGAGTGGTGAGGGCATAGGCGCCAACTTTCCCTGGTGCTGGTGGGTGCTCGTGCCCACCCGGCCCTGCCCTGACTCCACCCCTTCCCTGCCCCCATTCCAACCCCTTCCCCAAAGTCATTGTCCCAACTCCACCCCCCCCACCCCTATTGGACCTCTTCCCCAAATCCCCTCCCTGGCCCCGCCTCTTTCCCGAGCACGCCACGTTCCCCCTCCCCCCCCAGCCACATGAAACAGGTGTTTCGTGGCGCAAGTGCTGGAAGCTAGGGGGAAAAGCGGGCACGCGGCGTGCTCAGGGGAGGAGGCGGACATGGAGCGGAGGCAGAAGGGAGCTGGGGGGTGGGGAGCTGCCGGTGGGTGCAGAGCACCCACCAATTTTTCCCCATGGGTGCTTCAGCCCCAGAGCACCCACGGAGTCGGCGCCTATGGGTGAGGGGCAGATTAAATCATATCTATACCTCTTACACACCCCACACCCCTCAGCAGGAACACCCATCTCCATCCCGTCTCACTCTTGATAGGGGTCTGGAGTCTGAGCCCCCTGGTTAGTGAGTTCAGTTCAGTTTGTGGGTGACCAACACAGCTCTTTCTGCTGGATACTATGCAGAGTGAGTGTCTTCATATAAATACCGTCTGGTCCTGAATCCTTTCCCCCTCCTCTGCTCATCACTAGCTGTCAGAGGAGAGGTCATTCAGATCTTGCTTCCATCTAGCTTGTTCAGCCATCTGACTGTGCATCCTCAAAGTCCCGTCTTCTAACAGGTCTCTCCTCCATCACGTGTGTGACTATCTGTACTGGTGCCCTACAGGAACACTGAGAAGAGCGGGCTAAGCCAAATCTCTGCATTGCAGCAATTCCTCTGGCCAGTCCAGTCCGGGGCCTGTTAAGTCTAGTCCAGGATCTGCATCCCAGGTTCCAAATAGGCAGATACAAGTTAGGGCTTAGAAAAACATGCAAAATATTTAATACATTTCATTTGGTATTCTATTGTTTAACAGTGCAATTAAAACTACGATTAAGAGTGATTAGTTTTTTAAATCACAATTAATTTTTTGAGTTAATCGCATGAGTTAACTGCGATTGACAGGGAGTGAACCCCTAACAGGCTGTTGCAGAGGCTGTTCAGACCTGTCAGTGGGAGGCTCTACGTTCCCCAGCATCACTACTGATCAGATGCACAGGAACCTCCCTGAGTGTTTATTCCCTTGGGGTGTTTGCAGACTCTGGCATCTCGGAAGTGGCTCAGCTCCGACTGGTGAACGGTCTGAATAGATGCTCTGGGAGAGTCGAGGTGCTTCACAACCAGCAGTGGGGAACCGTGTGTGATGACAGCTGGGATTTAACTGAGGCCAGAGTTGTGTGCAGGCAGCTGGGCTGTGGTATGGCGTTATCAGCCCCAGGAGGGGCTCGATTTGGGCGAGGATCAGACCGAATCTGGCTGGATGATGTTCACTGCACAGGGACAGAAGCTTCCCTCACCGAATGCAGGGCTCGGCCTTGGGGAGACAATAACTGTAACCACGGAGAAGATGCCGGTGTTGTGTGCTCAGGTAACCTTCATCTACCACCCTGCATGTTGTAAGGTGCAGGGTGGGAAGCTCATTACAGGGCATTGTCCTCTCACAGCCAAAGCTGACCCCAGCATGATGCTTTGGGGCCTGTTCTTTAGGGAGCAATATGGCAGTTCCAGTACGGAGTGTTCTCTCAGTCTGTGCTGACCCTAATTCCCCGTGCGTTTCTATGGGCCTGTGCTTCAGGGAGCGGTGTGGGGGCTCAGTAGGGGATGCTCACGATCTCTTCTGGAAGTCAGCGCTGGCCCCAGTGCCCTAGTACAGTGCTAGGGGGCCTGTGCTGTTGGTAGGGGGAGGTCAGTAGGGGGCGCTCTCCATTTGTAGTTGTGCTGGCCCTAATGCCCCAGTGCAGTTCCATGGGCCCCTAGCATGAGGAAGCCTTGTCTGTGCCCACTGAGGGGCAGCTCCCCAACTCCCTCAGCCACACGCCACACAAGCTGTGCCCTCTAGGCCTTTTGTGGGGGAGTGACCTCCTTCCAGGTTGGTAATAAGCACACTTCACCCCTCGGTCCTCTGAGCGTCCCCCTGCAGCACCTAGTCCCTGTCCCACAGGGCATTCACAGCAGTCACAGATCTGCTGCTCCCAAAGGAACAGGGCCCCAAGGTGACCAGCTCCACCTCCCATCTCTGCCCCAATCAACACACAGCTCTAGATCCCTTCAGAGTGACACCAAGGACAAGTGATTTCACAGAGAGTAGAGACTCGAGGGGTAGCAAGGAGAAGGGTTGGAAAGAAATTGTTCCATGGGAAATAAAACCAAACTACGTTGTCTAGAGCCTAGACCAGGGGTCTCAAACACATGGCCCGTGGGCCGTATGCATCCTGTGGAATTATTTCCTGCGGCTGCCAAGCTCCCCTCACCCGCTGCCCCAGCACGCTGTGTCCCAGCTCCTGTGCCTACCTCCAGGTGCTTCTTGCCACCAAACAGCTGTTTGGTGGCGCTTAGCACTTTCCAAGAGGGATGGCGGAGGAGCGGGGAGCTGCATGCTCAGGGGAGGAGGTGAAGAAGCGGCAGGGCAGGGGCGGGGATTTGGGGAAGGGGTTGGAGTAGGGGCAGGGATGGGAAGGAGTTGGGGTTGGGACTTTGGGGAAGGGGTTGGAATGGGGGTGGGGCCGGGGGCAGCAGGTGGGAGGCTTTTGTACCTTTATATGGGTATGTCTACACTACGAAATTAGGTCAAATTTATAGAAGTCAGTTTTGTAGAAAATGTTTTTATATAGTTGATTGTGTGTGTCCCCACACAAATGCTCTAAGTGCATGTAGTCGGCGGAGTGCATCCACAGTACCGAGGCAACCATCAACTTCCAGAGCGTTGCACTATGGGTAGCTATCCCGCAATCTCCGCCACCCATTTAAATTCTGGGTAGAAATCCCAGTGCCTGATGGGGCTAAAACATTGTCGCGGTTGTTCATGGTGGTTCTGGGTACATATTGTCAGGCCCCCCTTCTCTCCCTGCCTCTGTGAAAGCAAGGGCAGACAATCATTTTGTGCCTTTTTTCTTGAGTTACCTGTGCAGATGCCATACCATGGCAAGCATAGAGCCCGCTCAGCTAACCGTCACCGTATGTCTCCTGGGTGTTGGCAAACGTGGTACTGCATTGCTATACAGCAACAGTTTATTGCTTTTGGCAGCAGACACTGCAGTATGACTGGTAGCTATTGTTGAAGTCTGCTTTCCTGAAGTCCAGGGTCCGTATCCTGCTGCTTACCTTTCTTCCCTGCGTCAGGATCCTGAACTCAACCAACTCATGGTCACTGCCTCCCAGATTCCCATCCACTTTTGCTTCCCCCACTAATTCTACCCGGTTTGTGAGCAGCAGGTCAAGAAAAGCGCCCCCCCTAGTTGGCTCCTCTAGCACTTGCGCCAGGAAATTGTCCCCTACACTTTCCAAAAACTTCCTGGATTGTCTATGCACCGCTGTATTGCTCTCCCAGCAGATATCAGGAAAATTAAAGTCACCCATGAGAATCAGGGCATGCGATCTAGTAGCTTCCGTGAGCTGCCGGAAGAAAGCCTCATCTACCTCATCCCCCTGGTCCAGTGGTCTATAGCAGACTCCCACCACTACATCACTCTTGTTGCACACACTTCTAAACTTAATCCAGAGACACTCAGGTTTTTCTATAGTTTCGTACCGGAGCTCTGAGCAGTCATACTGCTCCCTTACATATAGTGCTACTCCCCCACCTTTTCTGCCCTGCCTGTCCTTCCTGAACAGTTTATAACCATCCAAGACAGTACTCCAGTCATGTGAGTTATCCCACCAAGTCTCTGTTATTCCAATCACGTCATAGTTCCTTGACATCACCAGGACCTCCAGTTCTCCCTGCTTGTTTCCAAGGCTTTGTGCATTCGTATATAAGCACTTGAGATAACCTGTTGATCGCCCCTCATTCCCAGTATGAGGCAGGAGCCCTCCCCTCACAGACATTCCTGCCTGTGCTTCCTCCCGGTATCCCGCTTTCCCACTTACCTCAGGGCTTTGGTCTCCTTCCCCCGGCGAACCTAGTTTAAAGCCCTCCTCACTAGGTTAGCCAGCCTGCTGGCAAAGATGCTCTTCCCTCTCTTCGTAAGATGGAGCCCGTCTCTGCCCAGCACTCCTCCTTCATGGAACACCATCCCATGGTCAAAGAATCCAAAGCCTTCTCTCCGACACCACCTGCATAGCCATTCGTTGACTTTGATGATTCGACGGTCCCTACCCAGGCCTTTTCCTTCCACGGGAAGGATGGACGAGAACACCACTTGCGCCTCCAACTCCTTTATCCTTCTTCCCAGAGCCACGTAGTCCGCAGTGATCCGCTCAAGGTCATTCTTGGCAGTATCATTGGTGCCCACGTGGAGAAGCAGGAAGGGGTAGCGATCCGAGGGCTTGATGAGTCTCGGCAGTCTCTCCGTCACATCGCGAATCCTAGCCCCTGGCAAGCAGCAGACTTCTCGGTTTTCCCGGTCAGGGCGGCAGATAGATGACTCAGTCCCCCGGAGGAGAGAGTCCCCAACCACCACCACCCGCCTTCTCCTCTTGGGAGTGGTGGTCGTGGAACCCCCAACCTCAGGACATCGCATCTCATGCCTTCCAACCAGCGGAGTCTCCTTCTGCTTTCTCGCCCCAGACATATCATCTGGTCCACTCTCCGCAACGGTACCTGTGGAGAGAACATGAAAGCGGTTAGTTACCTGTGTCTGTGTTACTGGAACCCGGACATTCCGCTTACCTCTTCTGGAGGTCACATGTTGCCGAGCTTCTTCATTGGCCTCTTGGCTCCTCTGTGCAACCTGCTCTATATCTTTAGAGCTTTGTGCCCCTAGAAGCATATCCTGAGTTTTGTCCAGAAAATCCTCAGTTTCTCGTATGCAACGCAGGGTTGTTATCTGTTGCTCCAGACCTTCAATCTTCTCTTCCAATATGGAGACCAGCTTGCACTTTGTACAGACAAAGTCACTTCTGTCCTGTGGAAGAAAGACAAACATGGCACATCCAGTGCAGGTCACAACAGCTGAACCCCCCCCTTCCATATCATCTTCCTACTATGAGCTTCCTCAGAGCAGTTTGCAAGACGTAAGCCTCACTGGGCTCACTCCAGGCGAACTCCCAGGCAAACTCCTGCTGTGAGCTGCTCTGCTGGTTCGCCGCTGCTCAGCTGGTTCGCGAAGCTCTGGCTATTTTTAAACAGCCAGGCTTCCCTGACACAAACAAACGGACACCCTAATGCCCGTCCCCTGCAGGCTAGCAGCCAATCAGACACTCACTCAGGCTCTCACACTGCCCTCCCAGCAAACACACGCTCGGATACTTCCTCAGCAAGCAAACACACACACACTCGGATACTTACCAGTCCCAGGCAAACTCCTGCTGTGAGCTGCTCTGCTGTCCTCCGCTGCTCAGCTGGTTCGCCGCCACTCAGCTGGTTCGTGAAGCTCTGGCTATTTTTAAACAGCCAGGCTTCCCTGACACAAACAAACGGACACCCTAATGCCCGCCCCCATTAGTAGTCAGGAGCTGTTTAACTACAGGCTGAGCAAGTGCAGAATGGTGGTAGAATGTGCATTTGGACGTTTAAAGGCGCACTGGCGCAGTTTACTGACTCGGTTAGACCTCAGCGAAACCAATATTCCCACTGTTATTACTGCTTCTTGTGCACTCCACAATATCTGTGAGAGTAAGGGGGAAGATGTTTATGGCGGGGTCGGAGGTTGAGGCAAATTGCCTGGCTGCTGGTTTTGCACAGCCAGACACCAGGGCGGTTAGAAGAGCACAGGAGGGCGCAGTGCGCATCAGAGAAGCTTTGAAAACCAGTTTCATGACTGGCCAGGCTACGGTGTGAAAGTTCTGTTTGTTTCTCCTTGATGAAACCCCCCACCCCTTGGTTCACTCTACTTCCCTGTAAGCTAACCACCTACCCCACCACCCTTCGATCACCACTTGTAGAGGCAATAAAGTCATTGTTGCTTCACATTCATGCATTTTTTATTAAATCACACAAATAGGGGGATAACTACCAAGATAGCCCAGGAGGGGTGGTGGAGGAGAGAAGCACCAGGAGGGATGGTGGAGGAGGGAAGGACAAGGCCACACAGCACTTTAAAAGTTTAAAAGTTTAAAACTTATTGAATGCCAGCCTTCTGTTGCTTGGGCAATCCTCTGGGGTGGAGTGGCTGGGTGGCCGGAGGCCCCCCCACCACGTTCTTGGGCATCTGGGTGAGGAGGCTATGGAACTTGGGGAGGAGGGTGGTTGTTTACACAGGGGCTGTAGCAGCAGTCTGTGCTCCAACTGCCTTTGCTGCAGCTCAACCATACACTGGAGCATATTGGTTTGATCCTCCAGCAGCCTCAGCATTGAATCCTGCCTCCTCTCATCACGCTGCCGCCACATTTGAGCTTCAGCCCTGTCTTCAGCCTGCCACTTACTCTCTTCAGCCCGCCACCTCTCCTCCCGGTCATTTTGTGCTTTCCTGCACTCTGACATGGTCTGCC